GGCCCTGGGCAGATTCATATCGAGATTGTTGGACAAAAGAAAAATTTCTTTTCCCTACTCAAAAGAAAGAACAACTTTGAATGGACTCCAGAATGCCAATACGCCCTAGAAGAACTAAAACGGTACCTGTCTAGCCCACCTTTGCTGCACAAGCCCAAGGAGGATGAAATGCTATACCTATACCTAGCCGTATCCAAAATAGCGGCAAGCGGCGTACTGGTCCGAGAAGATCAAGGTACACAATTTCCTATATATTATGTGAGCCAAACCTTGGGGGATGTTGAAACCCGTTATCTCCATCTAGAAAAATTGGCTCTCGCACTAATAAGAGCCTTGCGCAAACTGAAGCCTTACTTTAAGAGCCATTGTATTTGTGTCCTGTCAACTTATCCCCTCCGGAGTGTACTGCATAAACCTAAGTTATTGGGTCGATTGGCCAAGTGGTCCATCGAACTCAGAGGGTATGATATCGAGCATCAACCTCGGACGGCCATCAAGTCCCAAATCCTGGCAGATTTCATGGCCGACTTCTCGCCAACCCCCATACCCAAGGTAGAGAAGGAGCTTTTATTAAAATCAAGAACATCTTCCAAGGTATGGACCCTGCTCATAGATGGTGCCACAAACGTAAGAGGATCCAGACTCGGTATAGTCCTAAAGCAGGCCGTCGACGGCATAATCAGGCAATCCATAAAAACCACAAAACTGACTAACAATGAAGCCGAGTACGAGGCTATGATTGCAGGTTTAGAGTTGGCCAAAAGTTTGGGAGCCGAGACCTTCGAGGCGAAATGCGACTTGCTCCTCGTGGTAAGCCAAGTAAACGGAAGCTATGAAACCTGAGAAGACAGGATGCAAAGGTATTTGGATAAAATCCAAATCACATTACGTCACTATAAAGAATGGACCTTAGTCCTTGTACCTCAAGAGCAAAATTGTGAGGCTGATGCCCTCGCAAACCTAGGATCTTCCACTGAAGAAGAAGAAGACCTGCTCCCCGGAACCGTTGTCCAACTGTTCAAATCTGTGGTCAAGGAAGGTCATGCGGAAATTAACTCCACCAGTCTGACATGGGATTGGAGAAAGAAATGCGTTGTTTATCTGAAGGAAAGGAAGCTACCCACGGATCCAAAAGAATCGAGGGCCCTGCGAACCAAAGCGTCGCAGTTCTTACTCGATGAAAATGGGGCTCTCTACAGGAGAACTTTTGATGGTCTCCTGGCGATATGCTTGGGACCGGGCGACACGGATTACGTGCTCCGGGAGATCCATGAGGGCTCCTGCGGAAATCACTCCGGGGCTGATTCCTTAGTCCAAAAAGTGATCAGAGCGGGCTACTATTGGGATAGCATGGAAAAGGCGCCAGGGAATTTGTCCAAAAATGCGACAAGTGTCAGAGGTTTACTCCCATGATCCACCAGCCCGGGGAGCAACTGCATTCCATTTTATCACCATGGCCATTCATGAAGTGGGGGATGGACATTGTCGGCCCTTTGCCGACGGCGCCAGGTAAGGCCAGATTCATTTTATTTATGACTAACTATTTCTCAAAATGGGTGGAAGCGCAGGCCTTTGAGAAAATAAGAGAGAAGGAAGTCATCAATTTTATATGGGAACACATCATATGCCGGTTTAGGATCCCGTCCGAAATAACATGCGACAATGGGAGGCAATTCATCGGGAGCAAGGTAACACAGTTCCTTCAAGACAACAAAATCAAGAGAAACCTGTCGACGCCATACCACCCGTGTCGCGAATGGCCAGGCCGAATCTACAAATAAACCATCATTCAAAACTTGAAAAAGAAGTTGGAAAGTGCCAAGGGAAAATGGAAAGAAATGCTGCCCAAGGTGTTGTGGGTATATCGGACAACTCCAAAATCGAGCACCGGTAAGACACCTTTTTCCCTAGTGTATGGCGTCGAGGCACTAATACCGGTGGAGACCAGGGAACCAAATGCCAGATTCTGACACACTAGCAAGGGATTAAACAACGAAGCCATGGAAACGGCCCTCAAGCTGCTCTACGAAAGACAGGAAGCCTCGCTGGTTCGGATGGTTGGCCAGAAGTAGAAAATCGAAAGATACAATGATGTGCCCGAGAATTTCGGCACATTTCAATACTAATTGCTTAGATTTTAGCTTGTGTTGAATTCAATTATCTCCTTTACTTATGTAATTTTAGTGTTTTGCAGTACATGAGGTTTAAGGACCCAAGAGCATGGAAATGAAAGCAAAAAGCCACAAATAGAAAAGAAAAGAGCAAAATGCAGCACAAATATAGAACTGCGGGGAAGGATGGGATCGCAAATCATACATGCGAGCCGCATAATATGCAAAGGATCGCAAATCAAAAGAGAATGTTGGCCAAAATCCAATGCAAGAAATACGGTCCAGAATGCGATCGCATAACAGGTTTGCGTACCGCATAATGGATCGCAAACTCATGGAAAGAAATGTTGATGGTAGAAAATGCGACGCAGAATGCGATCGCAAATCTAGAATGCGACTGCAGATCCATAATGCAACGATGGCCTGGAAACTAGGGTTTTGAAGTGCGATGGAAATGAAGAGAATGTGGACTGCATGTCTGATATGCGATAGAAATACGGCCGCATATTTGACTTGAAAGGGCATTTTTGTTCGTTTTCTATCTCGACTTTTGGCCCTCTATAAATAGATTTATTGTGAATTTGTGGGCTCATCTGGTCTGACTTTGAAGCTACAATACAAGGCATTAATATTCCTCTCTTTTGGAAGCTTTTGGGTCAAGAATCTTTCACTTTGTAAGCTTTATGGCATTAAATATTCTCTTCCTTTTGTATTTTAGCATGTGTAGCTAACTTTAAATACTAAGGTTGTGGACCCTAAATGGGTGTTATGCTAATGGGTGTTTAACATTGAATATATATATAATGGTTGGTTGATATTTATTTACTTCTCATTCTTCATTTATTGTTGGTGGTTGCAAACATTAACAAGTGCCATTAAATTCTTGCTTTGCTTGGGAAAGTGGGTTAGAATTTGGTAGAAGTAAATATCAAAGACTCAAGACTTTAAACCTTGTTTAATAGAATCGCTTAGGAATAAGTGGTTTTTATTTGGCATATATTGATTGTTCTTAATTGCAACTCTTTTATATTTGGAAAAATCATAAAGAGGAAATACTACCTAACTATTGAAAA